CTCTAGAAGAGCAGTTAGCACTCTTAACCATTGAGCCTTCTCTCCAGTCCCTGATTTTGTTAGTTTTACCATATAAACAGCATTGACTTATACCCAATAGCTTTATGCTATTAAATTCTACGTGAGTTTTGTTTTGAGACAGTGTCACACTGTAGCCCAGGCTAGCCTTGAACCTATGGCAGTTCTTCTGTCTCCTTCTCCCTAGAACTTGACAGCCATGAGCCACCATGCCAGATTCATGTCTGCTATGATGGAAAGAGGGAGGAGCAAGGGTATGGAGGGCGAGAGTTTGGTTCTTGACTCCACCTGCCTTGGCACTGCTCCAGGGGCCTGCCAGGCTCCCCAGCCTCGTAGTGGGGCTTGAGCTTCTGCCGGAAGAGTTGGGTGAACATCTTCACACCAAGGAAACTGTGTTTGGCAAATCCTGGAGATGGGAATGTGCCTGGCCCTTGTCACCAGTGTGATGGATTGAGTCAGCTGCCCTTGTTTGGTCTGACTTAGTGGCTTCCTGTTGAGCACAGAGTGAGCAGTGTTTGAGAATGAGTGACGTGTTGTCAGATGAGGGGTGCACCAGAGAATGGTCATGCGACTCGCCTGGAATCCTTCCCCACCTCCCCTGCGGCTATAATGGTGAAATCCAGAGCCTCCCACCCTGTCAGGCTCGATCACTTGATTCTTTGCTGGCCTCTGAAGCTTCACTACCAACCTCCAACTTGGAATATAACTCCACAAGACTTCCCTGACTGTCTCCCAGTCTCCATCAGTGTGGCCTGCTCATTCCTTCATTGTTACTTTATTGTGTTCTGAGGCTTGAAGGTAAGGACGTAATGTGAAAGAAGCATTCTACTACCAAGCTACGTCCCTTGCCCTTGTTTCTTTGAGACAGAGTCTCCCTATGTAGCCCAGTTTGGTTTTGAACTTGTAACCCTCGTCTTGGCCTCCAAGTGCTAGAATTTCAAGCAAGTATTGCCATGCTCAGCTAGGGCTGGGTTCTCGTGTCACCACCTCCAGGGAGTCTCCCATGGCTTCTCACTTATTACATCAGTTGCACCTGCTTGTGCCCTCCCAGCTCATTCTAAATTCCCGCCATAGCACCGTGCGTATGTGTGGGAGGGGGAAGTTATATAGCCTTGAGAATGCCAAGTACCCGCTCTGTGACTGAGCTACACCCCAGCCCCCACGTTTCTTTTTATAACTTCATTTTCTCTGATTACATACTCAAAATTCTCACTGATCAGAAATACATTATCTAGTATGTAAAAGCTCACATCCTACAGAGAGCTACTGGGTTTATTTATTTCTTATTTTTTCCATATGTAGAATATGTATTAAAATGAGATCATACTATTGGTAGGTATCTTGTTATTTTACTTTTGTGGCTGTGTGGTATTTCATTCTATGGCTATACCAAAATCCATTTAACCAGCTCCCCTTTCCCTCTCTCTGCTTTTTTTTTAAAGGTGAGGTACGGAAGAGGGACAGTTCTTGGGATTGAACCTGGGTCTTGCACAGTTGGGCAAATACTCTGCCACTGAGTTACAGTTCTAGTCCTAATCAAGCCACTGTTTTGTGTTGTTTGAGATTGGTGTGTGTGTGGGGGGGGGGTGCATGTGTGCGTGTAGACCACTGTATAGCTCAGACAGGCCTAGGACTCAAACTCTTCCTGCCTTCGTGAACCATCACAGCAGATTCGGCTCCACTCTCAGGCATTTGGACTTGTGGCAGCCTTTGCTGCCTTCTCACGTCAGCCAACATTTTATACACACACCTTTGTGCCCTTCCAGCAGGGCTTTTTTCAGGCAATTCCCTAGAGTGGGATTGCTGAGTCAGAGGGTGTGAACGTTTAAAATCACAATAGCCATTTCCATGTTACCCTTTCTGGAGCTGTACCACAACAGCATAACTAAAATGTGCCCCTCCCCAGTCCTGCCTTTCCCTTGGCACAGCCTTAGGAGTCAATCGCTTGGTCACAAAGGGCACGGCTCCCTGTTTGCAACTACATTCTGAATGTGAGCACAATGCCTGGTATACAGTAGGCAGTTAGTAAGTGCTGGATAATTGAGTTGGTAAGGGAGTGCAGGTGGAGATTTAAGTGTAAGGAAAGCCCTCCGTGTGTGTGTCTGTCTCTGTCTGTCTGTGTGTGTCTCTGTGTGTGTGAGAGACAGAGATGGAGACAGAGAGACAGAGACAACCCACTGTGTACTTACCTCCTGCTTATTTTCTCTTCTGTCCCTAACTTCTTCTGAAGCTCTTTAAGAAACCATCCCTAGTGCTGGAGTGTGATGTAGCTTAAACAAGGCTCTGAGTTCCAGCTTCAGCACCAGAAAGGAAAGAAAGGAAGAAACTCTTTAATGTGGGCTTTCCTCCCTTTGCCTGGAAAGACATCCCTGTTTCCAGGTGCTATTCAGAAGCCCACCAGGTTCCCTTCTCAAAGCCTGCAGTCTTCAGCTCCCCACACATGGCCTTCTCCTTCCTCTCACCCCCTTACAGATTTAATTAGCAGACAAAAATGAAGTTTTTCCTCGGTATGGATGCCTTTGTTCACTCCATCCTGTTTTTCATACGTCCCTCACCTCAGTTCTTTGAGAGTATACCAGTGGTAGGGGTTTGTTCTCACATGCCAGGCCAATGCACATGGACCAGTGAGCAGACAGAGAGAATGAAGAGTCTCAATGCAATGTTATTAGGGCTGTATAGGTGTAAGGTGTTGCAAAGCCTAGCTGGGTTGTGGTTTGGAAGAGGGAAAAATGGAAGAACCAAAGAATTTAGTAAAAGGGATGTGTGGGGCCACAGGCACAAGGAACCATAAGATGACAGCCCACTGATGGAAGTGGCAAGTCCAGAAGAGGAAGCTGGGATGGGGAAGAGGAGAGACTTACTGGTCTGGATTTGAGGAGCTGAGGGGTTGCTGTTCTGACTTCTAGGTGAGGAGATCCAGCTGCCTATGCAGGTCTCAGGCCTAGAGGTGGCAGAGGGTGACATTGGTAGAATAGTGAGATGGGATCAGTTCTCCCAAGGCTGTGAGCACAAGGGCTGTGGGAAAGGACCTTGAGCCATGACGTCATATGTACAGAAGGCAGGAGGAAAGATTGGCCTTAACCCACTGTGTGGCCCCAGAAGCCCGAGGACTTAGAGAAAATCAGAGGGCAGGGGTCATATTGGCTTTTCTCTAGAGAGAAGAGTCTGGAACCAGGCTTAGCAGTCAAAGTAGGAAGGAAACCTAGGTCTGGGGCCTTCTTGAACATTTGAGAGGGAAAGGGAGGGAACACCCTGGGGATTTGTGAGTCACTTCCCCTCCAGAGGGAGGACTGAGGGCCTGCGAATGGAGCCTCTGTGTCCACTGAAGGGGACATTTTTGTTACTCACTGGAATTTCCAACAAGTTGGAGTGGGTGGGGTAGTTTAAGCCTTGGATGTTTGGGGAGCAGCTTCTGTGAGGCTCAAGGGTTTAGGGAAGAAGTGGGTGCTGAGTCTACTGTGAGTAGAACTGTGGAGAAGTTAAGGTACTCAAAAACTAGGCTGCTTCAAGGTAGCTCAGGTTCTCTTGGATTGGCTATCATCCTGTACTGCCCGCTGCTCTGACCAGTTTGGGCACAGCACGCTGTGCATGTAGAGCCCCCAGGGTAAAAGGCAGAAGAACCTGTAACTCCGGGCCCTGAGCTGGCACGCTTGTGCCCTAGGGAATGTCCAGCCTGGCTGTTCCCAAACCAAATGAGGGATTGTGGCTTGAGAGGGCCCTTCAGATATCTGGCTATTTATAACCCAGTCAGAGCAAATCTGGACCGAGAGAGAGAGCAGTGGATGATGGGTAGGAGATGCCTTTGCAAGGCACTGGTGGGACAGACCTGGACTGGCCCGGGCCCCAGAGAGCCCATCATACCTTTCTCAGACTGTTTCAGCTTTGGTGGCAGGATGGAGCCTGTATCTGGTGAGGGCACATTTTCTATTATTGACAGAATGACAAGAGCCTCCTCCGGACTTCAGAGTTCCAGAAATATTTTTTAAAGAGTAGGATAAGAAACTATACTCATTCCCTTTCATTTCCCCTCCTTCCTCAGCCAAGGTGCCCAGTGGAGTTGAGAGGAGTTGGCATGGTGGGTCCCAACTGGGACGGTTTGCCTTTCTTTGGAAATGGCCTCAATAGTTTGACTCTGCCCTATGGCCATATGGTTGCCACTGATAAGTAAATATGTTGTGTATGAAAGGCTGGTCATAAACGGCACATGAGATTTTGATGGACAGATTCAGAAACCGTACCACCTGGTTGGTGGTACCTGTTACACAGGTTTACAAAGATAAAGTATTGGTAGATTGGTATATGAAGCCGAATTTTATTCCAAGCTGCCAAATCTTCTAAGAGGAGATGGGACAGAGAGACCCTTAGGGGAAACTCCTCCGACATAACCACAGCTGGCAACCAATTGCAAAAATAAAGACAGTGTGGCCATCCTTAAGCCTAGCTCAGAGCAAAGATGTGGTTTAGTGTGCTGTGCTTTTTGTTTGTTTGTTTGTTTGTTTTCTAGACAGGGTTTCTCTGTAGCTTTGGAGCCTGTCCTGGAACTAGCTCTGTAGACCAGGCTGGTCTCGAACTCACAGAGATCCGCCTGCCTCTGCCTCCCGAGTGCTGGGATTAAAGGCGTGCGCCACCACCGCCCGGCTTTTTTTTTTTTTTTTAATGTAGGTCTGGAGAGATGGCTCAGCCGTTAAAGGCTAGGCTCACAACCAAAAATATAAGAAATGTAGATTACTTGCTTTCATTTTAAAGTTAGGAGATTTTATTTAACCATTCATATTTTCCCTTGTGTGTGGTGACACAGGATGAAGCAGAGCCAGGCAGGTCTCTGAGTTTCAGGCCAGTCTGACCTACATAGCAGGTTCCAGGACGGCCAGAGCCACACTGAGAGATCCTCTCTCAAAAACAACTGTAGGGGGCTGGAGAGATGGCTCAGAGGTTAAGAGCATTTCCTGTTCTTCCAGTGGTCCTGAGTTCAATTCCCAGCAACCACATGGTGGCTCACAACCATCTGTAATGAGGTCTGGTGCCCTCTTCTGGCCTGCAGGCATACACACAGACAGAATATTGTATACATAATAAATAAATAAATAAATAAATAAATAAATAATAAATAAATATTTTTTAAAAAACAACTCTAGGGAGCTGGAGAGATGGCTCAGTGGTTACAGGTACATGCTAATCTTACAGAAAACCCGAGTTTAGTTCCTAGCACCTACATGGCGGCTCACACCCATCTGTAACTACTGTTCAGGGGATTTGATCTGAATCTGATGCCTTTTGACCACTGCTAGCATGAGACACACAATTGGCACCCATATCCACTTCCCTACACCCCCCATGCACACACACAGTGGGGGGTAAAGAGGGGGGAGAGAGGCAGGCAGGCAGCAAAACAATCATACATGTACAGTAAAAAGAAAAACAACAAAAAGAACAAACAAGTCTAGCTTGGCTACGTATAGAGATCCTGCCTCAAAACAAAACTAAAACCATAAAGACTACAGGTTTTGCAAACTTGAGCCTGTGTTGCTTTTGGGGAACACTAATTGGCTGGAGCTGCCGTGGTTTCTTCAGCTCCTTTAGGCCCTCTGGGGCTAGGTGCTTGCCCTACCTGAACTTTGAATGAGTGCTAAAGATGTGCCCACGGTTAGCTGCCTTGGATGTTGAGTTGTGAAAGAGTTGCTGCTGCTGGCCCTAGACTCCTCCCCCACTGGGGGGGGGTGTCCCTTAGGGTCAGGGTGAGCCTGGGAGGTGAGCCTCACCCTCTACATGAATTTGGAATGTGGAAGACTCTGAGGGAAGCAGTCTGGAAGCAGGGAGGGTGGGTAATGCACCTGTCCTAGATTGTGTATCCTGGCCTTGTAGGGCTGGCCCTCCCCTTGTGAGGAGCAGAAATACTCCAAGAAAGTGGAAAGTGGCGTTGCCAGTAGCACCTGACCTTAATGTGGCTCCCGGGTATTCCCCGGTGCCCAGTGACGTGTGCTTAGGACCCTGTCTGGCACTATGCTCGGGTTGGGCATAAAGCAGGCCAGTGCCTTCCTGTATAAGTACAATGCCTCGTTTACTCTACCGTGGTGCAATGGCAACTGCGGTTTCTCACCGGCAGTGGGCCTCCCCTCTGCGAAGGTGCTGGATCCTGAGGCCGGGGTGCGAAGGGGGCTCTGGCTTGTGACATCCCATGGGAACCTAGACTGAGTGGATGAAGGGTGACTTCTGGGGGGAAGCCTCTGCTGCTCCCCCTTGCCCAAGGGCTCCAGCGAGAAGTTGTAAATAAAGCTTGTCTCTGGGAAGCAGACCTCCCCCTGCGCCCGCCCGGCCTGTCTGCGGCCTCCTCCCTCCCTCCTCCTCCGCTCCAGAAGCCTCCGCCAGCCTCTCGCCCGCCCGGTGACCACAGAAGGAACGAGCAGCTCCACCTCGCAAGTCAAGACGTGCGTTTCCTGTGCTTTTGGAGCAATCGGGCCTCCGGGTCCAGAAAGGGCGGGCTCTGTGTGGCCAGCAGCGCAGCGGCAGGGCGCCTGGACGAACCCGGCAGCGGGCCTGGGGCGAGCAGAGCAGCGACTGAGGAAGGAACGAACCGCGGAGGGTGCTGGCTGTCGCCCCTGCCCTGCATTCGTCCACGAGCCGCTTCCCGGAGGCCCCGCTTCCCCTTTCGCAGGGTGGGGACGCGCGGGAGGCGGGCCCGGCGCGCAGGACGGCTGGAAAGCGGCAGCAGGAAAAGGTTCATAATGGATCCTTTCATCGCGAGCCGGTGGCCAGGTGCCAGGACCGACTCCGCGGAGGCCAACATGCTGGTGTAGGCCTGCCCTGAGCTCTTCCCCGCCCGCCCGTCCCCTGCCTGCCTCCCTCCCTGCTGGGGCGCGCGCGGCTGCTGCTGCCGCCGCCGCTGCTGCCACCGCTGCGTGGACCCTGCTTCCTGTTTGCCCTCTGCAGCTCTGGCTGCCATGGAAGAGGAAGAGGAGGCAATAGGCTTTTTGGACAAGGTTCTGGAGGATGAAGATGTGTTTCTCCTGGAGGAGTGTGAACTGGGAACCCCGACCAGCCCTGGCTCAGGGTCCCCCTTCTTGGTGGCTGTGAAGGTGGGAATGTGACACGCCCTGGATGCTTGTGGGGAGGGGGCAGGGCTGGCAGCTCTTGACTGATGCTGAAACCGTGTTTGGAGAGAAATGGCTGATGTGTGCACAAGCCTCATGGCTGAGTGGAAGAGCCCAACTCAGCATGAGATGGGCTGGCACGTTCCTGCCAGAGGATTGAGGGCTTATGCTCTTTGAGCAGCTGTTCTTGAGGGAGAGGTGGAGTGCCTGCTTGCCCTGCACCAGCTGTCCTCAGGGGCAGTGACTGCTGGCTTTCCCCTCAGTCAGCTGTGTTAGGGGATCTTTTTGGCTGTGACATGAGTCACCTGGTGGCCTGTCACTGATGTGAGTCTATTGCCCCCAGAGGAGCTGACTGACTTGAAACTGGTGGGCAATAATTCATTGTTTCCATGGCAACCAGAGGATAAGGGTATTTGTAAAGTGTGGCCATGGGAGCTACCCCTTTTCCAAGGAGGAAACTGGAGACTTGGTGCGTCTTGACTAATGCAAGTGGTCATTTAGGAAGATCAAGAGTCTGAGGTCACTTGGGCTTTCTTGAAGGAAAATAATTGAATCAGCTGGAGAAGGGGCGGGAACAACTGTCAGGTAGGTAAGCAGTTTCCCCAAGGTGGGCAGAGGCAGGACCGGCCCATTTCCTCTAGGGTTGTAACCCTGCAGCAGAGCTCCTAGAGAGGTACATCAGGAGGGAAGGGGCTGTGCCAATCGTTTTGCCTCTTCCTTGTCTGTCCTTTCCCCAGGGGTACAGCTTCCCCTGGGAATCTGGAGAAATACATTGGTTTCTCACCCTCACCTACCTCTAAGAACTTCAGCCACAGCCAGTCGTTTCTCTCTTCTGTGTCTGGAGGGAGGGCCTGTGAGGACTGTAGCAGGGAGTATGCACACTGCAAAGCCAGCTACCTAACCACATGGGCCCCGGAGGGTGTGGTGTTCAATGCATTACCAGGACTAGGTGTCTGAGTCGCCCTGAGTCTTCCCTTACCATAGGATGATCACCGCCTCACCCTGCCCACACTCTGGTGTGGCTCCAAGAAGGAACTAATGCAGACTAAGAATAGACTGTAGACCCAGGTTAGGTAGGTGGCAGGCAGGCTGGGTTGGGGTGGAGCAGTGGTGCAGACTTAGGTGGGAGCTGCAATGGGATCCTGGCACCTCATCTCTGTTTGGTAATCTGGCGCGAGTTTAGAGCACCGGATTAAGTCGTGTCCCTCGTTGGACCCACAAAACCTCTGTACTTAGGTTTTCCAGTCTTCCCACCAGTCTCTCTATGAGCCAAGAAGCATGCTGGGAGTTCCAGTCATGGGATGACCAGTCAGTAAGGTTCCCGATGAACCTCCGGGGCCCTCCCAACACAGGTCTCAATACCACTCATGCTGCCTCCTAGGCGCATCCTTTCTCTGGGTCGTCACTGCTGACCACTGCGTGGTACTGGGTGTATGACTGGGACCAGTGAGAATTGTTGGAATGACTGAGGTTTGTTGGGACACACAAAAGCTGTGCCATGTTCCTGACCTTGATAGGTGGCACATGGTTGCCACAGGGGTCCTGGACACACAGCATGCCTGAAAGCATCCTTCCTTCCAAGTCCCATAATGCCTGGATAGAGCCCTTCCTTCCTTCCTTCCCACTTCTCTTCCCTGCTTCCGTGTTTATGGAGGTAGCTTCAGCCTGGGAGCTTCTTGCTCCTCTGTAATGCCTCCCTCACACCTGCTTCCTCCATCAGGCTTGGCCGTAGCCCAGGGCTGCAGAGAGGTGGAAAGCAAGCCCATCATTTCATTCAGCACGTGCCGTCAGGTTGTGTTCTAGCCTAAGCCCTCGCCCTGGCACTGTGGAGGAGACAAGGCATGGTCCTTCCTCCCAGAGGCGAGGATCACGTTCACAGGGGATAGATAGGAAAGTGAAGTAAGAAAGCATTCAAGCCGTGAGAAGTGTTCTGATCAGAGAATACCAGCATCCAACTGTGGTGGTGACTGCCTGTAATACTAGCCTTCAGGAGGTTGAGGCAGGAGAAACACCAGGAGTTCAAGGCCAGCCTGAACTACTTAGTGAGTTCCAAGTCAGTGTGGGTTATGAGTAGTTTCAGAACCATAAGCCGAATCAAGAAGACTCCCAGATTGAGAGGAAGAGAGAGACCACTTCTGATTGAGTCAGGGCTGGACCAAGTACATGTTTGCACACGTGGAGGGACCAAAGGGACTTTCTAGGTGATGCTCCAGCGTCCTGGCTGCAGATGGGCTTGGCTCGCTCCTCCGCTCCTCCGTGGCAGCTGGTAGGAATCCAAGGCAATTTGCTCTTTGCTATTACTTTACTTCAGGAGTACTTACCTTAAACAGTAGTTGTGCTACTGTGCATTTGCCCAAATGCCAGCCCTATAAATCAATCCTGCTTTCGCTGTAATTTCCGAGGTGCTTCATCTTCCTAAGGGACAGATGCAAACCTGACTGGTCGTTTTCTCCAGAGCCGTAGCTGGAGCTTGCTACATCTCACACACAACCCAGCTTCCTTTCAGGAGTTAACGATCTGTAAACTCATAATGCAGATACTGATAGCAACATCACATCCCATCTGTAAAACGGTGCATACTTTTCCAAAAAGATTTTCACACAGTTCTATTTAAAGGTAGATAGGGCTGACGGGTGGGGCCTGGTAGAAGCTGCTATTTCAAGGAACTCATTTGTCAGGAATAAAAAGCCCTTTTGTATTCCATATTAACTCTTCAGGTATTATTCTGTGCTTAAAGAGAATGGGTTGTCTGAAATGCCTGTATTCCTGTTTGAATGACCATTCAGGTCTTTTCTTAGGCTCCAGCACCTTTGCTGCAGGGAGGCCCATCACCCTATTGGTGTTTCCTGAAGTATGGGCCTCATAGGTGGTGACTTGAGGGACAGTTTTAGGTGACATCTTGATATATATGTTTTAAAGAAGTATATGTTTTTAATGTAGATGAGGAAAAATCGGACTAATACATCATTCCTATGATTTGGTATAAGGCTTAGGATAAGATTGCATTTAAGAAAAATTAGTACTTAGCAGGGCATGGTAGATCATGCCTTTTATACCAACACTTGGGAGGCAGAGGCAGGCAGATCTCTGTGAGTTCAAGGCCAGTCTGGCCCACATGGTGAGAACTTGTCTCAAAAAAGAAAGAAAGAGAAAGCAAGCAAATCAACACTGCTGCATTTAGTGGTGCATACCTCTAATCCCAATGCTTGGAGGCTGAGGCAGAGGAGTACAAATCTGAGGTCATGTAGAAGGACTCTGTCTCAAAAAAAAAATTGATTGTAAAGAATGATATTAAGAGCCGGGCGATGGTGGCGCACGCCTTTAATCCCAGCACTCAGGAGGCAGAGGCAGGCAGATCTCTGTGAGTTCCAGACCAGCCTGGTCTACAGAGTTAGTTCCAGGACAGTCTTCAAAGCCACAGAGAAACCCTGTCTTGAAAAAAACCAAAAAAAAAAAAAAAAAAGAATGATATTATGATATTAAGTAGCTAACATGCCAGTGTGGCAAGGCTGTAATGGTGGGACATGAGCAACTAAGGTTCTTAAACATGTATGGAGTATGTGAATCTGCTCCAAATTTTAGGTAGCAGTAAGGTGAAAGATGAAAATCCACCACCAAGAGAAGGGGCATTTGGGGAGACGAAAGACTCCGTGTACTGTGCTCTCTTAGGTATGACAGGCCAGCTGTGCTGAGTGTCCCTTGCAGACTGGTGTGGCCCTTGGGCTAACTGGTGCTGTCTGTGAAGTCTGAGACCCTCGCTGCTTAGCTTGTGGCTTGACAGCACAGCTAGAACCGGCCCCGCCTGCTCAGCCCTCACTGTTGCCTTGGAAAAGATAAAGGGCATGGAAAGAGTGTTTCTTGACTTGGCCTAGAACCAAACCTTAGGAGGCTTTATTTAGCCCCTGAACGCTGCGGCAGCCCAGGCCAGAGCTGGCCACAGCTTATCCATAGATGCTACCGTAGTGACCTGGGGGCCTCGAGATGACGAGCTTTCAGCCTAGCAGACTGTAAATTGCTGGGGATAAAGGGGTTCACTAGGGCTGCAGTTTGTAAGCCCTGGTTGGAGAGAAAGAGGTGTCATCCCTCCTGTGTTGGGGAAAGGCTAGCTAGCTGTGCGTCAGAGCCAAGGGGCTTCGGTGCACATGGGCCTCTCTGGAAAGCATGCCTAGAGCAACCATCTCTGCATTTGTGTTACCATTGTCCAGCATGTAGTAGCGAAGGAGGAAATGAATGCTGAGCCCTGGTATTTTAGAGACAAGCAAATCCCCAATAAGGACTAAAGAAACAGCTGTCAATACAGCTATTTGTTTGTTTGTTTGTTTGAAGTTTATTGATTACATCGCAAGAGGGCAGAAGCCGGGCAGTAACTCAAGAACCATGTGCATCTATATCCAGAATGTCCCAACACAGAAACACATATGATCTCGAGAAATCCGTCCCTTGTCCAAAGATGGAAGTCTCTTCAGTGCTAGCTGTTAGTAAAATTTACAGAGCTTAACTTCACATC